TCGGTCACTCAGTACGACATAAGAAACTCTGAGGGAAGGCTGGCCTTGTCCAAACCAAACACCAATTATTTGATACGAAGCTTCTCTTACAGCGGGGCTATATTATGGAATAAATTGCCCAAAAACTTAAAAAATGCTCCATCCATTAACCATTTTAGGCGAAATCTTAACGTAGTCGATATATAGGATTCCCACACGGCAATCATGTAAAGCAGTTAATTAATCTTAGTTTTTATTATGTAACTGATGATTTTCCGTGTTTAATAATGATTTACATACATACATAAATACATACATACATACATACAGTTATGGGCCTTGCGTTTATTTCGAGCTCGATTAGTTTTAGTCAAGGCTGATAAACGTCAATTTATCCGATCATTGTTTGTGTTGCATTTCGAGCTCGATTGGTATTAATCGAGGTGGATTACTTAATCGTCCTTGATAAGACTACCACAGCGTACGACTGTTTATTCGTCCTCTATATGTCATTAACGTGTTGGATTGCCCAGAAACGTAAATTGATCCTTTTTTTTTTTTGACATTTCGAAGAGGACCGTGGTTGAGAAGCGATTTTTTTTTTCGGCGAGGGAGACTCAAATCTGAAGATCGTAGCGAGGGAGGCCAAGATATTACAAAATCTATAGCATCCTAAGGTTGCTGAGTTTGTTGCTGTTCGTCCTAAACCGGTTGCTATAATGATGGAATACGAGTGTTCTGATTTGCTGACATTCGGTCAAGATGTTCAGGTTTAGATCTCCTCGAATTATTGCATTGCCTCTATAGGATACAAGCAGGCGAAGCCTTTCAACATTTTTTACCGCTTGTTCCCAAGGCAGCGATTGATATCGCCGAGGGACTTGAATTTGTAGACCACGACTTGAAACCAGGGAATGTCTATTTCAGGAGCCATATCTGGTTTGTCCCGTCCTCGACGTTGGACGTCTACGTGTGAACCAAGGTTCTCTTTGAAATGTCGAACACAAATTTTTCGAGGTCTGCGTTTTCGTGGTCTGCGTTTTGTGAATTCTATATGCTGCAAGGACGAAAGGACGATAAGGACAATAAGGACGAGAATTTGCTGCTGTTGAATTTTGATAACATGAAAACCGCAACAGAGAAGCAAAAGTCTTGATTCAGGTTCATGTTTATTGCATATCTGCCGCATAATAGACAGGAAATCTGCAATTCAAATCTGAATATGGGGTTTATTCGTTTTACGTTCATCCGTTTGCGGTTCCAAAATTTCGAAGAGTTTTGCATTGGTTCTGGTAAACGTTTGACTGTAATGCGACCAAGTCCATATCCACCGGTACCACTTCCTGCTGGGATCACACCAAGCGCATCGCATTTTTCTTCCAGTGTCATTTTCGGAAAACTGTTCGTTACTCGGAATAGATAATCAAAGATAATGTCTGCAAACAAATTTCCGAAGATATTTTCCCCTCAAATAGAGTGGAATTAGATTCTATCAAATGAAATATATTCTCCAATATTAAAATGTATATCTACGTCAGAACGACTCTAGAATTTTTCATTTTACATTACCCACCTAACAGTCTTCTAAGCATATCGAACTTTCCAGCCATATTAGTCTCGGACGTTTTGACCGCCGCTTCGATGAAAGCTCTGGATCCCTTTTCCCTTTCATCAAGCATTTTCTCCACAGTTTCAAAGCGGGTTTCTAGGGATATGACGGAGTGATTATGGTATTGAATGGAACGATAAAGATATTTTCGCTTCAAACCAAATGGAGTTAGAG